TACTTTACGCATGCAGAATCAGTGGGAGGAAGCAGCGCTCAATAGGAGAAGAATTGTAAGCTCAGATAACGACAACCAAAAAGTAAACAGGCAACAAAGTAATGACATTTTTGAATCTCCGGAGTGCGGAAGAGACATATCATCACGTATCGGGCTTTTCAGTCACAGAAAGCTCTTGAAAGAAAACGCCTTGCGTCTTGCGTAACCATCTTCTGATCCGTGTCAAATACTCATCAGCGAGTAATGGCAGTGTTAGTAGTGGTAGCAAGTTAACATACAACATGGAAAATGACACAGGATTAACATATAATATGGAAAACAGTCTTGTACTTCCAAAGATACAATATTGTAATATATTTCCCATACCTGAGTTTCATTGCGACTTCATTGATACTGAGCACAGTCTGAGTAATTAGAAAGTCAGTCTACTTACGATACGTTAGAATTGTAATACTTCTTTGTTTGTGTACTTTTCTATTGATTATATTTTTCTACATTTGTCAAAGCGCATTGGTCCATATACTGGACCTTAATTTATTACTCATTTTCATTATTTACACTCTATAGGTAGTTCTTAATTTCAAATGTATCATTTCTACTTGTCTTATTAATGTATTTATTAGACTAAAATATGAAGGGCTCTGTTTTATTAATTATAAGTGCTGATTATCAAAATTACAGATTTTTTAGTTTAAAAACAACTGTTTACAAAATTTAGATTTACTTTCATTTTTTCGTCCAGTGGGCCAATAATAATATACAGGGTGGTCCCAACTGTCTTTTGGAAACCTCCGCAGCACATTCTGCAGATGAAAATAAGTAAAAAAGTTCGTAAAAAATGTATGTCCTAAAATGCTTTGTTTCGGAGATACAGGGTGCAGAAGTTTCATTTTTATTTCGATTTTTTCCAAATAATTTCATTTCAATTTCAATTTTTTTAAAAGTAAAGTAAATATTTAGATGAAAATTGGTGTCTGGGAGTTTTTTGACATGAAAAATTTGATTTTGATGTCAATATGACTCCTACTTGTAGAGGGCGCCACCTACTTATTTTTTAACAGTTTTGAAGAGTAATAACTTTTCGTCCGTACCTGTATAAAACTACTGAGTAAAAAAAATACATTTACGACATTTTTTAAAAAAATCGAAAAATCGCTAAAAAATGGTTCTCGAGATATTTGGAATCTAAATAATTAATACTTGTCATCATTGACATAAATTAAACATGTTGACTAAATAGTTATTAGACTGAAATCATAAATTTGAAATTATTTCAAATTTATGATTTCTTCGCCATCAAAAGTTACTGCCTACAAAAGAAATTATTTTGTGTCAGAAACTGTTTTATAGTCTGTGAAACGAATAACTTTGAATTTGACAGTTCCCGCAGGCTTTTCTAGTGTAATTTTATTAGGTTAGCAACTTGCGGCCATGCATTTTTCTTTGTGGTCTGATATTTAGAAATGTCAAAAGCTGATGACATTTTACTTTTGACACTTATGACATTTCGTATTGATTTTTGCAAGAAGAGGAAGAACTGTCACTTGTTTTATTATTTTCCTTTTCTATTTCACGACAGTAAAAAGAGTTACCTATCTGATCCGTTCAGGCATACAATTTAAAGAATATCAGTAACTTTTTTGACAGAGGGATTTCATATTTGCCATGTTGGTAAAAAATAACGGTCAAAATTCAAAGTTATTGATGTTATAGACTATATATTTTTTCGAAGAAAAATTTATGATTAATTTAAAGAAATAAAATGTTGCCAAATTTATCACTTCAGTCAAATATAACTATCTACTCAATATTGTTTATTTTTTGTCACGTTTATTGACTATTTCCATTCTAAAAATCTTGAAAACGGTTACTCGTAGCGATTTGTACCAAGGGATTTCTTTTTCGTAAAAAATCACGGAAATTTATATTTTTCACTCAGTAGTTTTATAAAGGTACGGACAAAAAGTTATTATATTCCAAAAAAGTTAAAACACATGTAGGTGCCCCACTAGAAATAGCAGTCATATTAACATCAAAATCAATTGCTCATGTCAAAAAACTCCCGGACACCAATTTTCACCCAAATATTGACGTTACTTCAGAAATTATTTGGAAAAAATCGAAATAAAAATGAAACTTCTATACACCCTGTATCTCCAAAACTAAGCATTTTAGGACATACATATATACGAACTTTTTTACTTATTTTTATCTGCAGAATACACTGCCGAAATTTCTGGAATACAGTTCGGACCAATTTGTATCTGTTTTGCGATCTCTCATTATTATAGACAATATATACACTGTAAAAAAAATGAGTGAAATTTCACTCAGATTTCACTCAATACTTTCTCAATTTCTGTCCAGTCCTCTACAGAACTGAGTGAATCTCTCAGAGTGAAAAGCACTGAGTGTTTTCACTCAAACAAGATTAGACGAAAGACTCGTTTTTTACTCATTATGGTTCACCTTGAGTAGGATTTTGATCGATTTTGATAATTTATTCACTTTGAAATGAGTGAACTCACTAAGTGTTGAGTTCAAGTACACCTTTTATTGAGCGACTTTTACTCAAATTTGTGTTACACTTAACTCGATTAGTACTCATATCTGAGTATTAATTTCACTCAGTATTGAGAAATATATTCATTATAACAGGTTGGCAGGTGCCTTTCAAAGGCAAGTTTCAGTTTAGGCCATGGTCTCGAACATGTCCATTTCCTAAAATTCACTTTTGGGAGGCATCTGTTCACCTGTAATAAAATAACAAGTTAGCTTACATATAGCTTTTAAAAAAATCATTTAAAATTTTTCGTTTATTTTAACAAACCAAATGAAAAATTGTAGAACCTTCAAAAATATTTGAAGAAATATAACACTATTGTTATAATATCAAAAACATTTTAAAAAGTCTTCAACTCTTTTTGGAAAAAATACAGGAACTTTTTAAGCTAGATGTCTAGAAAAGTTGCATCACATCGCAAAAATCCGCTTTATTAAGAGCATTCGTCAGCTCGGCTACCAACATTCTCGAATATTTCTAATTTCTAAACTAACTTTTAACAGAAAAATTTAAATAATAATAATTTAACGAAAATCTCTCTGAAAATCCACATACTTTTCCTCCTGAAAATTAAAAAAAAATGTTATTCTGCCAAATGTTCCAGTTCCCAGTTCCAGATTGAGGGAAATCACAACCAAACCAAACCAAACATAAAACATATTTAGGAGTTATGAGTTCGTATTCGCTTCACTACGCCACGCGGCCACAGTTACACTTTACATCGCACTTTACACACACACTGTGGGCTTGTAACCTTGGCACCCCTTCGAAGGGACAAGACAACCTACGACTCGAACAGATAATTAAAAACTGAGGAACAGGGCAGCGTTGTTACAAGGGCAAAAATTTTTGTACTATAAATGGTGTCGAAATTGTACTTTTTTAAGTGGGATTGTACATTTTTGGTGCAAAAATGTGGGGTCATTTGATCTCTCTATTTACCCTATTTTTACCAAGTTTTGGTACGTAGGGTGCATCCACACCATCCTAAAAACAGCGGAATGGCGTATTGGCTAAACGACCTTGAATCGATTTCCTGCAATTCTATTGGCTGAAATTTTTGCCAGGTGAATTTGACAGATAAGATTTCTGACAGATGAATTTTTCAGCCAATAGAATTGCTGGAAATCGATTCAAGGTCGTTACGCCGATACACCGCCGCCGATCCGCTTTTTTTAGGATAATGTGGATGCACCCTCACAGAATTATACACCATATGCTGTCCTCCTTTCACGCAGTTGAGCAGCTCTGAACTGTTCAAGATTCAAGAACGCGATACTCTCCCTCCATTCAATTGAGTCATAAAGTTCAGAACTGGTTCCGCGCCATATGGAGGCACCAGGCTATCTCGCACAGCTCCTTTCAGAACCGTTCTGAGCAACCCAGGGCGTAAAGCTCTGGAACTTGAAATTCGCAAATGGAGGACAGCAATACAGAAGCTACAAAGAGCTTTGAATAGCATTGGTTAAATGGGAAGTCACAATAGATCTAAGGTCGCAGTGATTAGCCCCCCTCCTACTCACCGCATGGATATCAAACTTACGTTTGACATCCGTGCGGCTTGAACAGCATTTCAAGTGATGTATAATTCTGGGCCTCTGCTCCTAGCGACCTGCATTTCAAATCCACGCATCGCGTATCACCGTTCGTCTAAAAATTTGTACGTGGGTTTAAGTTTGGGTTAGTTTGGGTTTGAGAAGTAAGAATTGTACATTTTTTCTTGCAATTGTACCTATGTACTCCTTGACTAGCAAATGTACCCAAAATAGTACAATTGTACCTATTGTAACAACACTGGAACAGGGGAATAGCTTATTCGGTATCGAAGAAGCGCGTATGACATATGATTAGTAATGAGCGAAAATACTCTAAACTGGGAGATTTCACTCAAATTTTTATTGTGTTAAACTATAACATGAGTTTTTAAGTGAAATTTTCTATTCCATTACTCAAAAATAGGGCTTATAAATCTAACATGAGTTTATTCAATCGCTATTGATTAAATGGAGATCATATTTGAGTAAAATGATGAATTTACTCTGTTTTAGATGAAAATGTACTCAATTATTTCACTCCCTGAGAAATATGTGTTCACTCAGGCTGATTTTTTACAGTGTACCATACGATTGAAAAAAAATTGCTGCCGAAGTTTCCGGAATACAGTTTGGACCACCGTATATTTTATATTTACGTAAAAACATTTAAAAACTATAAATTAACATTTTCTTAAACTACCTACTCTTTTCTTCAATTATTTTTCGTAACTCATTAAACAACCGTCAAAATGACTCACTGACTCACCCTGTACAACTAGTGCGATCATTAGTTCCCTATATCCTATCTACATTTTTCAACGCTCTGAAGTACTTAGTACCTACCTCCACATTCGCGCCGCACCGCACAGCAAATACTGTAAAGTCGACAAATAGCTGAGACGGGTATCATAGTAGGCTTAGTGCAGTACCATTTCGATTGTCACTTCAAGTGGCATATTTCCGTTCACAGGCCTGTGTGCCGCCGATCTGGGAATAGTACGGCCGGCTTTCGGCTTTCAATTCTCATCTGTCATAATTTCGAAACGGTCATTCAAGTGGAAAGGTCGGATCAAGTCGCCGGGGTTGTTTCTGTGAAGTATTTTTGTTTTATGATCATTTTTCCATTCATGCCGGGCCGTGTTTGCGTAGTGCGTGGTTTTTAAATATCTTGCGTATTTTTTTCGCGTGGAAAAATAAGGTTTCAGTGATTTTTTGTGTAGTTTTAAAATCAAGTGGAAATACTTATTGGATTACCTATCAGTAGAATAATTTAGGAACCGAAAAATGTAATGTATAATTTATGAATCAAATAAGGATCCGAGGGATGTACAGTGTAAGCATTTTATTTTGTCTCGCTCTTAACAAGCTTAGATTTTTTTATTTTTTGAGTTAGAAGATTTATTAAAAAATACAACTCTGTGTCAAGTTTTTATAAGTATTATCAAAAATAGCATACAGTATCAGAAGTAAATACTATAAAGATTTTTTAAATTGAAAACTGGAGTCCGTTTCACTTAGGTAGTATATCAAGTTAAAGAAATTGCTGCTTTAGAGTAGTTAAAGAAATTGCTGCTGGAGAGGGATTTGATAATTTGCATCAGGTGGATGTAAAAGGCTTACTTGAATCACATATTGTTTTACCTACTGAAGAAGAACTCAAGAAATTGGCGCTTAAAAATGAAGAAAAAGATAAAGATGTAGATGTAGTGCTGTGCTAACCCCATAGGAGTTAACCGAGAGGACTTAACAATAAATAGCACGCGATATTTGAAAATTCAAGATAGGTGTTTGAAAATTAAGCAAGAGGTCTTTGCGCCCTTTGCCGTAGTGGCATCACCATAATTTATTTATTTGTTTATATTTATTTTATACAGGATCCGGCAATAGTGCATCGGGTATAAATAATTTTGTTTAATTATATATGCCCTTATTTCAGGAAAATATTTTAACTTCTATAGGGTGGCTCAAAAAAGTGTGAATAGATCGGGATGATTTTTTAAATGGAACACCCTTTATATTATTGCAAATTTGGCTTCCTTTCAGATCACTTTACGTAATCCTGAGATATGAGTAAATATATTTCGATACTTTCAGAGATATTAATAAATAAATGAAAAATATTATAAGCCTTTTTAAACAAATATTAAAAATACAAGATATGTCCTGAAAATAATTAATATTTAATTTTTAAATAGAAAAAGCACAAAAATAATTCGGATATGGCGGAATTTGTTGCAGTATCTGATGCATACTGGCTATGAATTGAAGAACGTTGTCATTTTATATGTAAATTTTTATGGGAAATGTCATCGATTGTCATTTCCCAGCCAACTGGATGCCGTTTTTTTTCGATCATACAATATTTGCATCCTAACTTGATTTATTAAATATACTGTTTTATTAAAATTAAGTAAGGATTTGAAAAGACGTCAGTATTAATATTATAGTTGCGTAAAAAGCTTATTAAAAAATGCGGGATTTGTAACAATAATGACAATAAAAAGCAAATATAAGTGGATAAGACGGATTTTGCTGTAGTAACGTAACTTGTAATGGTTAGGTTTATTTCTTAATGGGTTTGGTTTATTTCTTAAGTAAGAAGAGAACGTAATTTGTAATGAATTTTATATAGGAATAGGCGACTTATAGCAGTTTAGGATTATGTTTTGGTAGAATTCAGGGTCCCACAATATTAATATATGTCATTAAGCCATTTTTTTTAAAAAATGGATAAGGCGAGTTTTTTCAACTTGACTCCTCAAATAGTACATGCCCTTCTCCCTTGTGTATATTGTTATGATATTAATTCTATAATTGATACATAAAAATATGTAATATGATACAAGGAGGTATGTTATGTAACCACAAGGGCATGTAATATTTTTAAAAAACATGTATAAATGTAAAATAAATGTAAACACATAAATCAATCATGGTGCCAATACCGCAAAAACCTCTTGTTTATTACATAATCTAGGTATATAGTTTACATAATAAAAGTTTATTTTAATATACCCGGTTTCGGGGGATTCCACTACTATATATACAGGATGGCCCAATATTTCGTGGACATGGAACTACTACGTATTTTTAAAATCAAATTAAGTTAATTGAATGCAATTTATTTCTATACAAAAGTGCTTAGTTTAGCCGATAGAGAGCATCAAATTAAAAAAAGACATATATTAAGACATGTTTTAAGAACCGATATTCAGATTTGATAAGATGTGGGTTGCCTATGTTTTGCTTGGCGTTTTTACAAAAAAAAAACAGAAAATGTACGAGAACTGTGAAAACTACCCTCATGCGTACATAAATTCTCTCAGAAATGCCTTTGGAGCTTCAACGACAACTGATTTTTTTCGGAAAACGGCCATTCTAGTAATTGGTACATTTTTGTTTCTAGTTTCTAGTTTCTAGACAAAAAATATTTTTTGTCACATCAAGAGTTAAAATAAAGTAATACCAGGGTGGAATATTATGTCAGTGTCACAAATGATTTTTGACAAGAAGTTTCATACATTTTTCAATTAATTTAGTTTTGAGTTTATTAAAATGTAATGTCGTAAGCTTTTGCTTTGGTTCGAAAAATACGCCGTAGTTCTATGTCTACGAAATATTGGTACCACCCTGTATTCAAATATATTATGTGTATTAGACAGGGTATTTTTTCTGATATCAAAAGTGCACAAAAATGTATATTATATTGCTTTCGATTTATTAGTTTTATCGGATTTAATCAAAATATAAACAAATGTTGATATATTTACCTTAGTATGTCCACATTTCAATATAGGGCGTTATATTGAAGCTAAATCTGGGTGCCGTATCGCTGGCACACGAACGCATTAAACAAGTTGCAACAGAGACATCTTAGACAAATATTAAGAATCAATTGGTACCACCATGTTACAAACGTATCAGTCCTTGAAAAAGTTAGTTGCGAGAGCGCTGAATTCATGATTACTAAATCCCGCTTAAGATGGGCTGGCCCCGTATGCAGGAAGCAATAAAACCGCCTACCGAAATTTCTTCTTTACGGTGAGCTTCTAGACGGTAAGAGAAGACCGGGTAGACAACTCTAAAGATACAAGGATATTTTCCATGAAAACTTAAAGAGCATAAGCAAGCAGAATCAATAGAGGAAGCAACGCACAATAGAACGCAATAGAGAAGGATTGTAAACTCAGTTAACGACGACAACCAAAAAGTAAAACGGCAACAAAGTAATGAGATTTTTGAATGTCCGGAGTGCGGAAGAGAGATAATATCACGTATCGGGCTTTTCAGTCACAGAAAAGCTCATCAAAGAAAACGCTTTGTGTAGCCATCTTCTGATGCGTGTCACATAGTCAAATGGCAGTAAGTAAGTAATAGGGCGTTACATGTTATAAAACTTAGTTTATATCAATAACTATGACTTGTGGCAGCGTATGTCATTTTTGGTAATACCTATTGGTACTTCATTAAAAACTCTAAGTTTTCTTCTGTAGGCTTAGCTAAAAACTAAAATAGAGAACTTAAAGCCCATTAAAGTGGGATAAAATAAGATGCAAACACTATGCAACTCAAGGGCACTTAGCTCATAATACACTTGATGTTCGTCAACGTTGTATGTCCTACCAGTATTAAATACCTACTTCTTAAATGTTAAATAATTCTGTTTAATGTATTTTAATGTATTGTTTAATATATTTAATTGGTAGGTTTGGTTTGGTTTCGTTAATAATAATAGCCCAAAAGCCTTATTTTACGGATAAAATAACCAAAAATAAAATAATGATTATAAATGTAATATACTGGTAGGTCATAATAGTTATTTATACACCAAGGGCGATAATGCCACTTGATAAATGTTATTTGTAACACGATAGGCATTATCTTATACTAACGCCCGTTGATACATACAAGATTTAATTTTTTACTTTATCACTATTTCAGTATTTCTCGATAATTTCTAATAACTACTAAATTAATTAAAATTTTTCAGTTAATGTTTATTGAACTTGTGCTTTATTTGTTATTTTGTCAAGATGTTGGTAAGGGCTGTGTATCGAAACTTTTTTGTTAAGGGCCGTTAAGATTATAATAATCTACATGGATATTATGGATAATATCTTATGAACTTGCATACTTTTACTTTTTGTGAACTTACATTACATCGGAAACAGATTTATTTACATATTTCGTATACTAGAAATAATTCTGAAATAATGATGAAGTAAAAATAAATAAACATATCTACGCTTTGTTATTAGTTATTTTAAATATATTAATATTCTGTCCAAATTCGTTAATCTTTGAGAGCTCTAAAACTAAATTTAATTTTTGGTATAAAATACATATTACATCTTACTTCGTAATTATCTAAAATATATAATATATTATAATATTATATTTGGTACAAAATATTGTCAAGAAAAATGGCGTATCCGCCAGAAATTAAAAATGTATTACTGGTTGCCTGCACAACCGCAACGTATCCGCCAGAAATTAAAAGACTTTTTCAGGCGCCATCTTTTAGTCAAGTCGAGAAGTAAGGGAATCAGACAATGGAATTGTCTGGTATGAAGAAGTACGCTTTCCGAGAATTGGGGAAATTTCGAGAAGCAGTCAATAGAGTATATAAAGCTGGAGCCATCGACAACTGAGACAGTTTTGAAATTTGAATATACCGCGCGTGGAAGTGAAAATCGGACAATTTGGTGAAGGAATCTTATAAATAGTTAGTTTGTTGTGTGTTATAAGTTAGTAATTGTGTATAAAGTGAGAAAATAAATTCGTTAAGTATTTTATCGTGAGTTTAAATTAGTGGACCCACGGAATCCGTAACAATTAAAAGTCAGAAGTGGGATTCAAGAGGATTTTTAAGAAGAAATTAAGTGGATTGGAAGATTTTTTAGACCGAATTGGAGTATTTTTATGGTTGGTACAAAGGGAGCAAGCAGAAGAAAATGGAGGAAGTAAGCAAATTATTGGGCGATTTTATGGAGAATATGAGAAGAGAGAAGGCAGAAGAACAAGAAAGACTCCGTAAAGAACGAGAAGAGGAACGAGCCCGATTGGAAAGAGAAAAAGAAGAGGAAAAACTGCGACGTCAAGAAAAACAAGACCAACTACAGAAAATGCTTATGGAGAATCAAGAAATTAGACAAGAACAGTTGGAGAAAATTGTAGAAAATCTAGAAGTGCGTCGCCAGAAAGATAAACAAGAAGAACAGGACCGGCTTGAGAAAATATTAGGAAATCTAGAAATTCGTTTTGGAGGAGCGACGTCAAAAGAAAG